GCTGCAATTTATACCCTTGAGCATTTTGTTTCTTTATCCCTGAAGTATGGATATAATACCTGTTCACTGAGCAGCCGTGAGGATATGTGAGCTGATTTATGAAAGATGTAGAGTATAGTGCTTGGCATACAGTTAAAACTCAGTAAGTCACAGCTTACAGATGTCATCATTATTGGTGAAGAAATAAGATGAATTATACTTGTGCATGTATTTATGCAAACCAAGGAAAGATAAATTAAAATCATATTAATGATTTTAAAACAACCTTTGGGGAAATGACAGACTTCAAGATAATTTAAAACCCACAGAGATAACCTAACATATTCAAATGCCACCATTTTATGGTACACCTCCAAACTACATCTATTAACATTCTTAAAATTGGTACATAAGACCTTGTGATTAGGTGCTTAAATAAAGTGATTATTGCAAGCTGGTTATATAGCCTGTCCTGCAACTGTGACGGCTGACATTAATTACATTTTTATGTGTAGCATATGAACTGCACATTTTCTGGCTGCAGAACCAAACCAGATGCAGAGCACTCTGTTTCAGCATGAGTAATGGAAAGAAGGAAGCAAAAGCTCATGACTGCAGAAGGCAGGGCTGGAGAACAGGGCAAGAGGCACATCAGCCCTGGTTCTTTGGGAAACAAGTGAAGGTCGAAAACGAAACAAGCCCTTGTGTACCAGGAGCCTCCAAATTTCTGAACTTCTCTTAAAATAGCTAAGCAGAACTTAAAAGGGTAAAAACAGAGCACTCTCCTGTTCGAGTTTAAATCTAGTAGAAGGTCTGGCATTAAATAACTCTTGTCATTGAGTGAATGAAGAAATCAATTAGGCCTCAAAGGAAAGGCTCTCCATGTGAAATGGCTATGGGGGATTTAAGAGGCATGGAATCTCGGCCGGCTTGTGCATTCACTTGGATAATCCCTGATTTCCCATTATGTGTTTAAAGGTGAGGACAAAAATTTTCACTTAGCCATAAGCAATGGTGTTATGAGGACACTTATCACTGTTTGCTTACAAATATTGTTTGGAACTTCATAATAAGTGGTAAATAAAACTGATTCTCTGGACATGTTTTTCAAATCATTTTGAAAACTCTATACTCCCTTAGAATGAAGACACATTTGGTATAACATCTGTTATAATCTCACATTACATAATTATTGTAGGTATACAGAATAAGTGCTTATAATATAGATAATAAAGATATTAAAGTTACTAGGACTTATTAAGTCCAGACCCTAGGCTAAGTGGCTTTCCATATGTAACTCACAAATTCTCTAAATGACTATATCTACTTTATAGCTGCAGAAACTGAGGCTTACTTATTTACAAATATTCTCAAGTCCACACAGCTCCCAACAGTGGCAAAGCCAAGATTCATACCCAGAATATCTGATTTCAGAGCCTAAAAGCTGAATCACTGTTATTCTGACCAATAGGCTTCATTTAGAGTTTTAAAGGCATAAATATAAAATAATCAGTATTTGGGTAGTTGAATATTGTTGTTTTTAAAGTGCTTCACTTTTTTTTTTTAACCTGTTGAAAACTGTCAAGTTTAGGCAACTATGTCTATAACTGGTTCTTACGTAATTAAGATTTACGTCTTGAAGCTGTTCCCTATAACACTGCATTGAATTGGGTATTTATTTCCATAATTGATTATTATATCAACTGGGACACAAAAAAAATTCCTGAAGTGACCTGCTTTAAACTCCTTATCAGACAGAATAATTTAAGTAACAGGATTTTCTGTGATTGAGTAAATTGTGTAAGATGCGGCTGTTTAAGAGGCCAAAGCTATCAGGCACACAGCATTTATTTGGATCTCCATACAGACATGGGAATACTATTGAAATATGAGGAAGTCTCAAAATCTCCCAAGGAAAACAAGCATTCTGCTCACTAATGACTCCACAGCAGTTCTAAAGGTTGCTTCAGATTCACGCTAATGATTTCTTTCCATTTTGACAGAAATAGGCTTCTGACCTAGAACCATAACAATAGAAGAGCTAGAGAAGAGGAAGATAGGTGATTAAAACCCATTTATGTGTAGTGTTCTACTACTGGAATGCTAAGCGTGTGGGAGTAATTCATCTTACTGGTCAAGATCATCGCCAAGTTCTAATTACAAAAATTCAAAAAATTATGACCTCAGGCATGAATGGGTTAAAAAAAAAAGGCAGAAAAGCCTAGTTTTGCTTGATAATCTAAAGGGACCTGGAATTCTTTGGACTTGGCAAATATAGATTCTGGCTTCCAATTCTTTCAGATGACAAATGTGTCCTAGGGGTTGATCTTGCCTCTCTGTAAGCTCTGACCTCTTCCTTGTGCCCTCTTCCTCTCTTATTCTTTATTCTTCCAGCAATAACAAAGACGGAAAGGTGAGGTGTGGAGTCTGCTGTGTTCACTGGAGGAAGGCAGAATTTCACACCTGTAATTGTAATGATTTGTTACCCTTCCAGGTGGTCAGCAATGGTTAGGAAAGAGAAAGCTATTCAGAAAGCATGGAGCATTCTCCCTACTAAATGCCAAAGTAACCAGGAATCCACTATAAATGGGCAGTTTCCAAGGATGTAATTCTTTGAGAACCAGAAAATCTGGATAAGAAGAGAACTCCTAGGTAGTAAGCAAGCAGGCATGTCTGTTTGTTTGTGTGTGTGTGTGTGTGTGTGTGTGTGTGTGTGTGTTATGTGTTTGTTTTTGTCTCTCTCTCTCTCTCTCTCCCTCTCGTGTGTGTGTGTGTGTATGTGTGTGTGTATTTAGTGTGCATTCTCCAGGACATTCCTCAAGAGCCAGCAACTCATTCCTTCAACTACTGGGAATACTGGCTGCTAGCTGTTAAAACTCACAGCTGATCTATCTCTGGGAATTACCCTCCACCAAAGGGAGCTGCCTCACTCCAAGGTTACTTAATCCCTCCCCAGAACAAAGGCCAGGTCTCCTTGCCTGGCTATAAGACCACTCCAAAGGCCATCCCAGCCCCAGAGCACTCACAGGTGCAGCCTCTCCCTCTGCCCAATTTTGCCTTTCTTGCTTCCTCAAGAATGGAAAGCCTGCTTGTGAATCTCTGGAATGATCTCCCAAGATCACAGAGCAAGTAAGCAGAAGAACTGGGATTCACAAATCCAAATCTGTTTGACTCTTAGCCCTAGGTTTCTATCAGCTTTATCAACCCCTTGACTTTGACTTACAAAATACACATCCTCACATTTTAGCAAGACAGACAAAGTCCCTTCTTCTATGACTGTCCTTTCTAGCTTCACATCCCATCACCCACTTCCATACAATCCCTAGTCCAATCATATCAAACTTCTTTCTTTCCCTGGTCATGTTCATGCTCTCCTTCCTTGGAATAGCTCATTGTTCTTCTCTGTTTGATGAAAGCCTCTTTCTCCTACAAGTCTCACTTCAAGTGTTCCCTTTTCTGTGAAGAATTTTCTCATTCCCTAGGTAAAGTTAAGATCTCCAGCCTTCCAGTTCCATTTTGCATGGTAACTGTTGATTACTGTAATGAGCTCTTTGCAGGCAAGGACATGTCTTTTAACTCTGCTCCCCCAGCCAGGCGTTTTAAAGATGTTTTGTTGAATGGATAAATAAATGAACTCAGCAGGGGTACTGGTCCTAGAGGCCCTGTCTGAATAAGAAGCATTATACAGTGCCATATGAATTAGGATAAATTGTGACCTCCTTGAGCACCAGGACTAGTTTTTTCTTCATCTTTGTAGCCCTTCCAACACCTATCATTGTAGTCTCCTGCCCATGGGAGAGGCTCAGAAAAACCTGCTGAACCAAATGAGGTCCCTGTAAAAAGAGCTCATGTACAAGAAAATTACTTCACTTTCTCGGCTCTGTCTAAATTATTTTTTTTAAACTCTACTATTCAAGACGCATAGGATATTTCTCTTCGTACCTCTTCTTAAATGATATGCTCCTTAGTTTCCATTTTTAACATTTCTCCTTTGTTTGAAATATTTTTTTTTTTTCTATTTAATGGAGCATAAGGTGACTTAGAGCTTGCTAAATTCCCTTTCTAGGTCAGAAATCAAATCTAATGTGGATACATCAAACATGACTAAGAAATTTTCCAGCTGGCCTGCTTAACACTATGTCTTTGTTTTAAGGAGGCTCTTTCAAACATAAATATGTCATTAATCTACAGAGTGGTTTTTCTCCCCCCTACTTTCTGAAACTAATAATTACTGAGTAGAGGTACAGGTATAGGTAGAGGCAACAACATTCCTAATACAAATCTGAGGGGGTGGGGGAAAACTCTCATCTTACAAGCATAAAAAATAACACTAGCTGTACTGGGCAAGTAGCTGCATTCTCTACACAGGAAATGGTCCCATTTTACTATTTGTGCTCAACAAGAATGTCCACACCACAAAAAAATTGCTGGGAGTTGGCTGAGACTCGTAACAATGATAAGAAAGCTTCAAAGCCCAGTTCTTATTTTTTAATAGATTTGGGGAGGAGGAAGCTCACTGGTGTGTCAGGGGTGGAATTTTCTGTGCCCTGCGCAATTTTCTTCATGTCACTCTCTCGCAGCCTCTGCTGCTAGTCTGGTGAGACTAAGAGACACTGTGCTAACATCTTCTCAAGAGAGCAGCACATATAATAATCTTGTTCTTCACAAGTTTCTCACCATGTATGGGCCCCAAGCAAAGAACTCAAGGCATTCACCCTCTGGTCTGATTTTTCATGAGTACAGGTGGTCCATTCCTGGGCAAAGGTGCAATTTGCAGGAACATCTTATTTCAAAATTTTTGCTCACATTGTTTAGTTCACAGATTCACTGACTTATAACTCTATAATTATGACTTATACCTTTTTACTCTGTTTTTAAAACATTAATTCCTCTAATTTTTAATCGTTTATTCTGTGTCTCTAAAGAATTCATTCATCCACCTAATTTTTCAGATACCGTTCTCAGTCCTGGCTATAGGAAAAGCAGTTATTGGAAAGCATGGCAGGATTTATGGAATGTACCTTTTTAAACATCCTGGTAGAATCCTCACTTATCTGCATGAACCGCATAATCACGTTGTTCAGATAGATGTCACTCAAGGTTGCGTGGTCTTTGCTTTCTCTCCTTACTTGGTTCAGGAGCAAATACCAGCAGTTCACGGGAGACAACAGGTTCTGGTCTTTCCTAAGAAGTGAAGAAAAACAGAATTACCGTCTATTTCAAAGCTGCCTCACTCGGATGAGTGAAGTCACCAAGGCAAACAGAGGAGCCACAACAGATGGATATTGTTGCTGTGCTTCCTGCACTGAGCATTTCTCAGACCAGGACACTTATCGGCCAGCAGAACAGCCTTCCAGCCTGTGGATGGCACAGAGCCAACAATTGTCCAGGTTTGGAAGAAAACACATGAGCCAACAACACTCTTGAAAACCCATATTCCTGACAAGGGCCATGGGACCCTCACATACACAGTGCTTATGCAGGCCCACAGCTTTAAACACTCCATTGAAGAAAGCAATTTATGTTTACATAAAAATGTATTGACTACTGTCTCAGACAGACTGTGGTTTTCCCTGGCACACAAAGTCTGCTTTGAATGTTCAGTCTGTTGCTGGAAAAGAAATTTGGCTAGTTATGCGTTCCATGAAACATAAATTTGAAGGTTATTTATTAATCCCCTGATATATAACCTCCAGTCTCCCAAAAACTATTCCTGGGAATCTGAACTTTATTGCATTGTCTCAAGGCTCATGAAGAAAATCATGAAGTTGCTGGCTTATGACCTGTCACATGTTCTGTTGAAACCCATTAAACTGTTTCAAATTCATAACTGCTCCTTGTTTTATTCTAGATAATAAAGCTAAAAGTTAATATAAACTGCATACAAAAACTTTTAAAAAATCTTAAAGAATAACTCAACAAAAAGAGTGAGCAACTGAAATGATATTGCTTAAGAAAAAGTACACGTAAAACAATTTTTGCAGTCAGGCATGGTGGCTCACGCCTGTAATCCTAGCACTTTGTGAAGCCGAGGTGGGTGGATTGCCTGAGATCAGGAGTTGAAGACTAGCCTGGGCAACATGGTGAAACCCCCTCTCTACTAAAAATACAAAAATTAGTTGGGTGTGGTAGTGGGCACCTGTAATCCTAGCTACTTGAGAGGCTGAGGTACAAGAATCGTTTGAACCTGGGAGGTGGAGGTTGCCATGAGCCAATATGGTGCCATCGCACTGGAGCCTGGGTGACAGGGCAAGACTCTGTCTCAAAAACAATTTTTTTTGGCTTGTTTGTTCCTTAAAAACTAACTGTAAAATGGCAACATGGCAGAGAGTCCTTATCCTAATGCAGGAACAAAAGCTCCCTTTAGTCAGACATGTTATCCTCCTATGATTCATGATCATTTATGACTGAATAATAATTAAGTTAGGAAAGAAATGATGAAGTCGGGTCTTTCTGCTATTACGTCTCTCAGATTCAGGATTTAATACTGCATTAAGTCAGTGCCCTCTCTAGAAGAAAATGAAAGCAGAAGATGGAAGCAGGAATGGGCATAGGGAAGAAAAGCCTGATTTAGGCTCCTGGCACTTGGCACCTGTGAGGGCAGCCTCCCATTCTCCCCACTGGCACACTGAAGAATTATACCCTTCACCCTGCAACCTCCCTTTTCTTAATACCACCAGGCAAAGAGCAGTGGTTCTACAGCAGGTAACTGGGGCTTTTCTACTGACAGTTCTGTCTACCCAGCCCCATACAGTAAGGTAAATGTTGCCTTATTTCTACGAATTTTCACATAGATCTTCTTTGCTGAAGTAACCCACAAATTCTTTCAGAACATTCCATGTTTCATCATATCCTCAGGGCCTTGCCCCATAGTAAGCATTAAATAAGTGTTATTTCACTTATTGCATGAATAATTATTATTGCCTTAGTAATAGTAGTAGTAGTGATATCAAAAATAATGACAGTTATCATTAACTGAGCACTTACTGTGAAAAGTAATATCCATGTCAAGATCATGGCCTCTGGAGCTGCACTGTCTGGGTTCACATACAGAACTACCCCTTACTAGCTATGTGATCTTGGGCAAATGATCTTAACTACTCTGTGCCTCAGTTACTTTGTAGAATGGGTAAAATAACATTGCTTTCATAAGAACAATCTTATGATGGTTTATGAGAATCATTGGAGTTAATATATATTTTAAAATACTTATAATAATGCCATGTATATACAATAAGCGCTACACAGAATTAGCTCTTTTATCCAGGGGCTAATATAAAAACTTCACAGACATCAACTCTACTTAATCCTTATTACTACTATTTTTACTACCATTTGAGGCAGAGATTCTTTCTATATTGCTTTTTTTTAAAATTTTTTTAAGACGGAGTTTTGCTCTTGTTGCCCAGGCTAGACTGCAATGGCATGATCTCGACTCTCTGCAACCTCCTCCTCCTGGATTCAAGCGATTCTCCTGCCTCTGCCTCCCAAGTAGCTGGGATTACAGGCACCCACTACCCACACCTGGCTAATTTTTGTATTTTTAATAGAGACAGGGTTTCACCATGTTGGTCAGGCTGGTCTCGAACTCCTTATCTCAGGTTATCCACCTGCCTCAGCCTCCCAAAGTGTTGGGGTTACAGGAGTGAGTCATCACACTTGGCCCTTTGTATCTTTTCCATCAATGAAAGAATGGAAGCTTAGCACGGCATACAGATTTGATAAAGACCGAACCTAGTGTCTGAGAGGGTCTTTTTTTTTTTTTGAGATGGAGTCTCACTCTGTTGCCCAGGCTGGAGTGAAGTGGCACAATCTCAGCTGACTGCAACCTCCGCCTCCTGGGCTCAAGCAATTCTCCTGCATCAGCCTCTTGAGCAGCTGAGACTACAGGCGAGCTGCACGCCCAGCTAAATTTTGTATTTTTAGTAGAGACACGGTTTCACCATATTGGCCAGGCTGGTCTTAAACTCCTGACTTCAGGTTATTCACCTGCCTCAGCCTCCCAAAGTGCTAGGATTACAGGCGTGAGCCACTACACCCGGCCGAGAGAGTCTTTTCTGAGTCTATGGAGGCTGAACCAAGCCTTGCTCTATGGAGTGGCATCTTTGGGCCAAAGATTGTTCTACACAGTAAGTGTCTCCAAACTGAATAAGAACAAGATTCCAGAGTATAGCTTAATAAATTGGTAATGCTATCATGCTAACGATGCAACATTTGTTTAGTTAAAAGGGGAAGGAATATGCAGTGCATATCCTGGCCAGTTTATCAATCATATCAAGGACTTCATCATGTTTCTCACTTAAAGGTCATAAAACCTCATTAGGTTAGGACACCAAGGATTAGAGAGGGTAAGTAACTTAACCAAAGTCACAAAGTGGAGCCAATATTCAAACTCAAATCTGGTTGACTCTTTTTTCCCAATCCTGTTTTATCCTTTTCACAGACATATTCATCTTAATCTTCAGTCCCATATTTAATAATAAACTTACTCAAGTTAAAGAAAATTTCAAACTGCTTACCTTTTAAAGAAAAGTACCAAATAAACCAGGAGAAAGAAAAATGCATTCATTCACCATGGAGCCAGATAAGGTACACAAATCCATCTATATTCTCCCTTCACAGACACTAATTACCAAGTGCAAAACACGGAAGATACTCAAAAATATTTACTGAATGGGTTGAATGCAGTGGCTCATGCCTGTAATCCCAGTGCTCTGGGAGGCTAAGGCAGGTGGATCACATGAGGTCAGGAGTTCGAGACCAGCCTGGCCAACATGACAAAACTCGGTCTCTACTAAAAATACAAAAATTAGCCAGGCATGGCGATGTGCACTTGTAATCTCAGCTACTCGGGAGGCTGAGGCCTAAAAATTGCTTGAACCAGGGAGGAGGAGGTTGCAGTCAGCCGAGATCGTACCACTGCACTCCAGCCTGGGTGACAAAGCAAGACTCCATCTCAAAAAAAAAAAAAAAAAAAAAAAAAAAAAAAAATTACTGAATAGATGAATGGGCTGTCTTCTTAATTGCAACTGCTTTTAAAAAGAAACAGTTATGTTACTATAAATGTGAGTAGAGTACTGGCTCCAGCCTCTACTTCCCAGCCCTGCTCTCTGTCAAGTACATGTAACATTCATTCACCCTGGGGATCATCATTAAGATTAATTTTTATGCTGGACCAACAGTAAAGGTTAAAGTTGAGAGATGGGGAGGAAGGGGGGGGAAAGAGAGAAGACAGAGAGTGAGGGAGAGGAAGAAAAAAGAGGAGATAAAAGAGAGGAGAGAGAGAAAAAGAAAAAGAGAAGACAAGAAAAAACAAACACTTGTGTTTGCTTCTGCACAAGTGTCCCAGGTGATAGTTCCCCTCCTATTTTTTTAATACAGGGTCCAAGGTCGTGGAGAGGTATGAAATAAACAGAACTACAAAGCCAATGGTGAAAGAAAGGCATGCATCTCAGCAGCTTCCAAACGGGAGCACAGGCTGAACAGCAAGGTCTCCTTGTTATGCCCTGTGCAGGTGGGTAGAGGGTTTTCTCTTTTACCATTTCACTGAGATAGTAGCTCTTCTGGTTCTGGGATGCAATGCAAGGGGGCTGGTGGGGAGGAAACCCTCAGTTCCAAACCTTTACTTGGCACAGACCTCATCTTCTCTTCCCATGTGAAATTAAAGGGTGGATTCGACTTCCACATAGGTTTTCAGTTCCCTTTTCTTTTTTTGGCCCCTGGAAATTTTCCTTACTTTCCTGTGAGTTCAGTTTTATATTTAAAAGGATGTCCATTATATATTACCAGGATTTCTGAGAGTTTTCAGACAGACATGTTTTTCAGATTATCTGGCCGGCTGTATTTACAGAAATGAAAGCCTGCATTGTCCTTTTACTGTCTCCTGAACAGGTCGACTTCTCTCTACCTGCAGTGTTGTTTCTCATGCCCCTGGAAAAGGTCCCAACTGGCCAGGAAGATCCACAGGCCCCCAGGACCTGCTCTGATTGACACCTGCAGCCATGTAGCTCATCGCCTCCCTGGTCACTCCCGCTGGACTACGTCTGTTCTGCAAACCTGCTGACATCCCTTCCCTGCTGGCCCCTTGCCCACGACGTTTCCCTTGCCTGGAATATCCTCCTCTTCTCTCCTTTACTGGCCAACTCGTCTTTCAGGTCTTTGCCTCAATGCTTCTTCTTTCAGCACCTTCCCTTCCCCATCTCCAACGCAGAATAGATTTCAGTTGGGTCTGTCTAGGGTCTCCATGCCTTCCCCTGTTGGAGCATTTGCTTACTTCACTGGAGTTGTCTGCTTACTTGTCTCTCTCTGTCCTGAGGATTTTTTTTTTTTTTGAGATGGAGTCTCACTCTATCACCCAGGCTGGAGTGCAGTGTTACGGTCTCAGCTCACTGCAACCTCTGCTCCCTGGGTTCAAGCTATTCTCCTGCCTCAGCCTCCCAAGTAGCTGCGATTACAGGTGCATGTCACCTTGCCTGGCTAATTTTGGCATTTTTAGTAGAGACGAGGTTTCACCATATTGGTCATTCTGGTCTTGAACTCCTGACCTCAGATGATACACCGGCCTCGGCCTCTCAAAGTGCTAGGATTACAGGTGTGAGCCATCCCACCCGGCCCTATCCCCAGGATTTAAATCATAAAGTAAATTTCATTAGCAGAACATCTTATGTGTATTTTTTAAAGCAAATATAATTAAACAATTTATGCTCATTCATAGCATTTTCCTTAAAACTTTTGTTTTAAATAAGTGTCAATTACAATGCCCATAAACACAACGGGCAGGGAGCAGGGCACTAACCTCAAGCAACTCTTACTGCTTATTTTCATATAAATTCACTACAGAAAATATGAGGTCTTTGTTTGAACACAAAGCTATTTTAAATCTGTCCTACCTACAGCAGATATCAACTCTCAGGTTTCTATAATCAAGAATTTTACAAAGACATACCTTCTCTTCTGGCATATGAAGTTATCCATAAATAGGTATGTATTGGAAAGTCAAAAATGTCAAGAGATTACACTAGTTTGAAATGATAAATCGATGCCCATAAATTACAAATGTAGAGGATGGACAGTGCCTTGGAAATGTGAATTAGAGTCAAGTCTCTCTTACTTGTATTGTTGATGATCCTTAGTACTTCTTGTTTTTGCCATGAACCTTTCTGCTAACTTCTCTAGATTCCGGGAATATTCCGTCTCAATTTCAGCTTTTTTTCGGAAGAAATCTTGCAGGTCCTGAAGAAGCTGAACTCGCATCTCCGTTTGCTGCTCCAGGCATTTTTGTTGTTCTACCAGTTGAGCTCGAATTTCTAAGGAGAGAATAGAAGTCATTGAATGGTTTAATGAAAATTAATGAGGTGTGCTGGTATGTGCAAGATATAAGTCACGAATCCATATTCATATATATATGTATATACGTATATTTTCAGATGGAGTCTCGCTCTGTTGCCGAGGCTAGAGTGTAGTGCCGTGATCTCAGTTCACTGTAACCTCTGCCTCCGGGTTCAAGTGATTCTCCTGCCTCAGCCTCCTGATTAGCTGAGACTACAGGCATGCAGCACCAGGTGATCAACCTGCCTTGGCCTCCCAAAGTGCTGGGATTACAGGTGTGAGCCACCATGTCTGGCCATGAATCCTATTACATATTTAGCTCTGTATTGGACCTTTGTTAGAATACTGTGTCCATGCTGATTCTTTAAATAAGTTATCTGCTGACCCTTTAAAAGAACAAGAAGAGCCTCAGGAAAGAATGTAATAAATTAGAATAAATATATGGGTTATATTTGTAATGCCAAAAACGCACAAAGAGCCATTAAGGGAAAGAATTAAAGCCTTTCAGATAACAATAACATCTTTGGGTAGCTGGGAACATTATAATTTTTTTTCAATAGCACTTTACCTGAATTATCCCTTTTGAGTATAAATAGCAAAGAAATAGGCATCATTTCTTCCAGGCTCTGAACCACTACACATTTGCCATGTGGCACATATAGATACTGACATCTGGTAATTTTTATACAGTACATAATTTCTAGTTTGTAACACACATAGCTTCAGGGCATATAGGGATGCTGTGCCTAAAAATAGCTTCCTTCCATAGCCAAATAATCCATTCATAACAGTGCAGTCCTCAGATTCTGCTTTATTATTATGTTAATAACAAAAAGACCTCTTCAGCTGGCCTTTACCTTTTACACATTGTTCAAAATAACACCCTTATTGACATATATAATCCTCAAAGAATTCTCTGATAATTTAATACATTAGGAACATGAAGGGTGGTCATTTAGTGATTAAGCAAAAATGTGGCATGCAAAAATATCTGTAAATGACTATAACAAAGAAACGTGTATTTTGGAAAAGGAGATACAGTAACTAATAACTACCGACTTGTTTTTGTTCTAAGACCTAAGGCTAAGCTCCAAAGAAAAGAATATCATGCTGGAAAACTGCTTTATTTCATCTTCCCCAATGTCAGTGCATTTCCCTAAAAGTGAAGGTTGAATCTAATTTTCAGTGGAGTTAGTAGAAATCAATGTCCAAATATTGTCTCTTTAAATTTCTCACTATATTTCTTAGAGAAGGCCACATATATATACATAAACTTGACTATGTTTAATGAAGTTCATTAACAGCAAGTTAACAGCATGTTCATTAACAAGGTGGTTAAGTTCTGAATGGGAAGTCAGGAAATGTGCTTAATTTAAAAATAACTAATCATAACTCAGTGTTTGCTAGTCTATGCCCTAACAAAATAAGTTTTAGTATTATCCTCCATTTTACAAGGAATAATCGAAGTTTCAGCAGTATAAATACTTTATCTATGGATTTCAGCCAGTAAGTGGTACCCCTGGAGACTTCTGACCCTGACCTATCAGTCTGACTAATCAAACGCTTCCCATCCTGTATCCACCAAACCTTTTTTTCGGGCACCTATACTGTGCCAAGCTTGTATCCTGGCAAAGAAGAAACAATAACTAATAAAACAAGATCTCTGCCCTCAATAAGGTCAGCCTCCAGGCAGTGCTGTTTCTAGGGAGTCCTGGGGGAAGACAGGCAAGAATTTCTCAAGTGTCCTTGCTTGGTTTCTCCACCTCTACATTGGAGGATCTTATTATAACTTCATGGGTGTGTGCTGAACACCAGAGTTGAACATATTATTACAGGCTTTTAACTACTATGAACAGCATCTAGTTTTTAGTCAATCAAAGTAAGTGTTTTCCAATACGGTATTATAATCAGCATGTTTGCCAAACTTTGTCTTTCAAAAATACAGAGCTCTTTTTGTGTCATGAAGAAAAAGAATGTATCAAGAGTGGGGGTGTTTCCCATTCAGGGATCCCAGTAAGTCTTTTAAGATGAAGTAATTTTAGCACATCTTGCTGCACGAAGAGAAAATAAATCAATCATCTTAGGCTGTCAACTAGTTTTCTGTTTTTTTTTTTCTTTTTTCTTTTTTAAGCTGACTTAGTGCCAAATAAGAAATAAAAGAACAAATCTCAAATATCATCAGAAATACACAAAAATCATGTGGGTTTTTTCTTGGTTCTCATTTTTAAATGTTCTCTTGCTTACTTCTATAAGGATTTAGGATCAAGAACTAGGAAATCATGAGAATGACTGATTTAACAATTAAATCTTCATCTTCATTTTACAAAAAGTAACTGTTACTTTGTGTCATCTGTAATTTTCAAAGGGCTATGCACAATGGCTCATGCCTATAATCTCAACACTTTGGGAGGCCAAGGCAGATGGATTGCTTGAGCTCAAAAGTTTGAAATCAGCCTGGGCAAGATAGGGAGACTCCATCTCCACTTTAAAAAAAAAAAAAAAAAAAAAGTAGAATTTATCTGGTTGTGGTGATGCATGCCTGTGATCCCAGCTACTCAGGAGGCTGAGGTGCAAGGATCGCTTGAGCCCTAGAACTTGAGGCCGAGGTGGAGCTGTGATCACACCATTGCACTCCCGCCTAGACAACACAGTGACACCCTGTCTCAAACAAAAAAGAACAAAGTAAAACAGCCCACGGTGCACCGGGCCTCACACTATATGAATCATGCCGTGGGGCCACAGGCAGCTACAGCTAGAGGCACCACTGTCATGGGAACTACAGAACATCAAAGCTGGAACTTGTGAAAGCCTAAGGGCAAGGGGTGATTTTGAGAAAAACGGTGAGCCTTATTTCTGCGTAAGACATTGTAGCTTCTTTCCTACCCCCAGATTGACAGTCTATTAAGCTTTTTTAGATAAGCATTGACCTTTCTAGAAGCTTTTTTAGATTAGCATTGACCTGAATCATTATTTTCAGACTCAAGGTTCATTTAGTTTAGGTGAACAAGCAATGATTGAGTTTCCATTTTGTGTTAGGCAGCGTCCTAGGCATGGGAGATACAAAGGTTTGTAAGACACAGGTCGTTCCAGTTAGGAAGACAAATCCTAAACCGATCATTTACACTCTGTTCACTGCCATAACAAAGAGGTGCAACAGGAAGCTATGGAAAGAGGGGCAGGAACTGATTCGGATTGGAAGAGTGGGGAAAACGTAATGCCTTGAAGGATAAGTAGGTTACAAGATAGACAGCAGTAACCACCAAGAAAGTGAAAAGGGACAAAGTATTCACACGGCATGTATCTGATAAGGAGCTTGTATAGGGAATACACAAAGAACTCTTACAACTCAGTAATAAAAACTAAATCTCAGTTTCAAAAATGGGCAAAGGATCTCAACAGACATTTCTCCCAAGATGATATACAAATGGCCAGTAGCATATGAAAAGTCGCTCAGTATCATTAGCTTTCAGGGAGACGCAAATCAAAAGCACAATGAGGTGCTACTTCACACTCACTAGGATGGCTATAACCAAAAAGATTTAGAAAAGGTGTTGGAAGAGAATGTAGAGAAACTGGAACCCTCATACATTGCTGGTGGGAATGTAAAATGATGCAGTCCCTTTGGAAAACAGTCTGGCAGTTCTTCAAAAGATTACACTTAGAGTTACCACATGACTCAGCCATTCCACTCCTAGGGATACATTCCAGCGAAATGAAAATCTATTTTCACACAAAAACCTGCACATGAATGTGTGCAATAGCAGCACTGCTCATAACAACTGAAAGTCGAAAACAGCTCAAATGTGTATCAACTAATAAAGAGATAAACAAAATGTGATATAGTCATGCAACAGAATACTGCTTAGCCATACAAAGGAATGAAGTACTTATTTACAACATGCATGAACCTTGAAAATATAACTTTAATGAGTGGAAGCCACTCACAAGAAACCACAATCTATAATTCATTCATACAGAAGGTCCAGAATGGACTATATACTCAGAAAGTAGATAAGGGGTTGCCTAGAATTGGGAGAGCTGGGGAAAAATGGCTGCTAATGGATGCAAAGTTTCTTTATAGGGTAATAAAATGATTGAAAATTGATTGTGGCTCTGATTACAAAACCTGTGACTATGCCAAAAACCACTGAATTGTATTCTAGAAATGGTAAATCATATGATAGGTGAAATATATCTCAAAACAGCTGTTACATACATACAAAGATAGCTATACCACAATTCCATGAAATTTTGGTTGTTGATACATTTCTGATAATGATGGTAATAGTAATAACAAATTCATATTTCTACACCCAGTACTTTTGGGTACTTTTTGTCAAATGTCCAATTATGGACAAGTACTTTAAAAAGATTTCATGAGGCCAAAGGCACTTAATGGTATAAAAAAGATTTACCTAATAGAATATTAGGAAAGGCTTTTCACCATGAATTCCCCATAACTGCATAAAATAGCACAACCTCTTTTAGGCAGAAAAATGTGATCTCTGAGGAGGCTGTAAGCAGTCATTACTTAAATCTAGGTCAGGACCTGCTAAATAATCATAATGGCTGTTTTAATGGAGGCTAAAATTTACTGTTTTTTAAAATGATTATTATTTCATTCTGCTCTACCAGAGAATCACTACAGAATGAATCAATACCAATAATCCAACAAGAACAATGCACAAAATGAGCGTGCTTTTCAAACTGCTGCAATTAATTTGTTAAAAAAAGGAAAAAAATTGAAATGGTTCCTCTAAGCTATAAAAATCTGCTGACTAATACTTACCAAATAAAGTGGAATTGCCTAGAAACAGAGGAAATGAAGGAATGTCTTGCTATTGCTCTCATAAAGGGAAACTCTAACTCTTAAAATAAATTTGTGTGAAGCCACAAACTGATGCATATTTCACGGAAACATTGATCCATACTGGGCTACTTCTCTAATATATTACTGAATGATGACTAGGACATAAAA